TCTAGAATCAAACCATTCTCACTCCCTACACTGTACAATGAGCCACAGGTGGCTATTAATATTTAGATTGCAGTTAATTAAAATTAAAATAGAGGAAAAAGGAAGGGCTAAGTGAGAACACTTAGGAATAGTAACAAAAATGAAATGTAAAAATTCAGTTCTTTACTCCCACCAGTAGCAGCATTTCAAACACTTTCAAGGTATGTGTGATTGGTGGCTTTGGCACCAGACAGTGCAGGCACAGAACATTCTAGCACATCAGTGCAGAGAATTCTAGTAGCCAATGCCATTCCCTCCTCTCACCGTGACCACCCTGGTCCCAGCCATTGCCATGTGCCTGATGACTGCAATAGCTTCTGACTTGATGTCACTGCTTTAGTCTTTACAACATGATAGCCAGATGATCGCTTTAAAACGGATCACGTCCCTCTCTGCTCAGTTGTCCCGCAGTTCCTGTATGTGTCTGCCAGAGGAGAAGCAAAGTCCTTGGAATGGCGAATAAGCCCTGAGCTCTGGCCCCTTTAACTTCTTTGACCTCATCATGTTTTCCAACTGCTCTCTGCCACAGCCATGCAGACTCCTGTGGTTCTGCCTCCTGGCTTCTGTGCTGGGTTTTCCCTCTGTGGAGAATGCTTTTCCCTCCTATTTCCTCCTGGCTCATTCCCTCTTTTTCTTCAAATCAACTTCAAAGTTGCCTTTTCACTTGAGGCTTGTTTGGAACACTACTTCAATTTTAACATCTTCCCTCTTCCACCTCCACTCAGAGCAGTTCCAGTCTCCCCATTCCAGTCTCCTTCCTTTGTCTTTTCCAAAGCGCTCACCTACTGTCAATAAACTGCGTGCATCTAAAGCTGACCCTTGAACAACATGGGTCTGAACTGTGCGGGTCCATTTACAGTGGATTTCTTCTGAATAAGTATACTATAGTGCTGTGACTATAGTTTTCCTTATTACTTTCTTAATATTTTCTTTACTCAAGCTTTCTTTATGTAAGAATACATATATAAAATATGTGTTAATTGACTGTTTATATTAAGTTTTGGGGGAGTCAAAAGTTACACACCTATTTTTGACTGGGCAGGTGGTTGGTGCCCTCAACCACACCTATTGTTCAAGGTGAACAATACTTATTATATCTATTGTTTACTGTCTGGCAGGGATCTTTGTCAATGTACTTGTGGCTGGACAGCTGGCCCTGAGGAGGCTTTCATACATATTTGTTTAATAAATGAATGTAGTTTTTGAGCTGGAAGGGGCCCTAAAATCATTCTTGAATGGAGCAGCTGAGGGTCACTGAGGTTATTTACCATGGACCCCCTGTAAGTTTAAGGAAGAAAGAGGTTGGACTGGGAGCTGGTCTGAGCCTAGGCATCTTCAAAGAGCCAGCCCATGATAATGCGCTCCCTGCCCCTGTATCTGTCACAACCAGAGGGACACTGACAAACCACAGAGGGCTAATAGGGACAACAACCTAACTACAAGGCCAGGGGTATTTGCCACTTTCTTCTTGATGGTCTTTGCAGCACTCAACCATTGACCCTGCTTCTCTGATGGCTCACAGGAAGGAAAGAACAAAATGGAGGCTCTGGATATTGGCTAATCTTACACACCAATATTATCCCCACAAGTCACAGATGCTAAGACTTTTGGAAAACTGGAAACATATATGGCTAATAGACTACATTTCCCCCTAAAGCAACGTATCAGACTTGTTTTGAAAAAGAAAGATTTCATCATATAATTGCTAAATTGCTATTTGAGAAAAAGTTGATTTGTATGAAAAGAATGATTCTCCTTTGCATCATTAAAATATTTCCTATAATCCAGAAAGGATTGGAAGATCCCAGATCACATTTTGTGTTAGGGGTTCATCTGTCCTCTTGCATCTGTAAGGAAATGCCATTTCAATATATATCATTTTTAAATGCTTTAGGATGACACTTTTTCTACTGTCAATTCTGATTCAAAAAACATATTGAGGGGATTTCAACCTCATAACCAGACCTGCTCATAATGACATGACTAACAAGTCCAGAGCGACACAGCATGATGTTAGCAAAGAGCCTGGCAAAGTCCACCCATGGCTCACTGGATGATTTAATTTGCCAAAGTATGTAATTAAGAACAATGTTATCTTTATAGTCATTCCTTCATCACTGAGATAACTCAATTGGAAACTTTCTGGGAGATGCCTGAATTGAAAATAAAGTCCTTACAGACTGCACTGCAATGTCATGGAGATTATACCAGAAAACAAATTGATGCACATAGACAATCTTCTGTACATACCAGAAAATTAGATCTCAGGAGAGACGTGGAACTAAGATGCAAAATTAAGGGGGATGGAGGCAGAGCACAGTGAAAGGCATAATCAGCGGCTCCCAGAGAGAGAGGAGCCCCACATGCCCAGGGTGCTCCCAGCTTTACCTTGGGTGGTGCTCTTCATTGCTTTCACTAATTTGCCCCTTCCAGCTCCAAAACCATTATTTCCATAGTCCAGGTCACTGTTACTATCACTGCCACCGTTGGCAGAGAAGGCACATATTCTGGGTACCTTGTCCTAAATGAGTAATATGAGACTGTTAAGATTATTCATGCAGACGAAATGGAGCAGAGCATCCAGCGAGGACAGGAAGCAGGACATATTTGGCTCCGGTGGTGTGTACCGAATTCCATTCCCACTGCTCCACCCCCAAGAACAACTCTGCTTTGCCTGCCTATCTGTTCAAGCAGGGCTGGTGCAAGCTACTCAATTACCAGAGCTGCAGAAACAGGCCTGATAATGAAGCCATTGACCACACTCTGCCACTGTCCCAGCCACAGGAAAGTCCCTAGCTTCTCACTCTGCATTTTGTACACTTCTTTATCGGGGCCTTATTTGTCTCAAGTGCCTATTATGAGCTGTTGTTCCAAGCCTAATGGCTTATTTATTTAACTGATCTCATCACTGGCTTTCAAGTATCAAAGGGTATGAAAAAAATTCAACCTTGAGAACAAAGGAATGAATGTTTGCCTAATTTAGAAGTTTCTTTCAGTCCCTGAAACAACAGGAGCCTTTAGAAAAGGATGGAGTTGCTGACCTTATATATTCCTAGAATCTACTGATAGTACAATGGTGGAGGAACTCAGTCTCCCCCTTCTTCACATGCACATACAGACTGGCCCCTGAGAATGTTGCCAGTGTTGCAATAACGCCAAGTGTTGTAATTGTTGTGTCAGTTGATACAGTATGAATGGTTTTCTCTCTGTACACACAATCAGGATAGTGGATCTAGGACTGTAACCCCTAGGTGTAGCAGCAAGGGTGTCTGGGACTGTCGTTTTTGCAGACAGTACTGCTGGAACCAAATATTCCTTACCTGTCCCAGACAGGTCAGGTACAGATGCATGGGATGGCACTCTAAAGTCTATGTGAGGGGGTGTCCTTTGGTTGGAAATTACAAAAGCACAATTTAGGATGTACATTTCCCTGGCTGGGATTATAAATTCAGGCAGCTACTAATTTTCCTTAGTTCTTCATTCGCTTACTCATTCATCTGCCCATTCAAGATATACTTAGTGAGTGTCTACTCTGTTGCAAACAGTGTGCGAAGTTCTGGGGATACAGAGCTCAATACAGGAGATTCCAGTAGCCCCCCAATGCTGATGTCCATGAAGGAGGGAAGTCTATAGCTGTGGATCCAGGTTGGAAACCCACATCTAGAGTTCTAGCAGGCAGGCCCCCCGTAACATTCTCGAGGGAGAATGAGATGTGTTCTGTTCTCATCTCTCCATTCAGCAAATACAAAAGGAACCAGGTATTGTGTTGGTACCGAAAATATAAAACTAACTGATACTTGGAACTTTCCCGCCCTGGCATTCAAGAAAGCAGGTTCTGAGCCACAGTGTGGCTCTTACAATTCAGGGTAGGTTTCTGGTGGGCTGAGCTGGTGCAGGATGATGTAAAAGATCAGGAGAGGATTCCCAGAGAGTTGTGAGTGTGTGGGTGAACAGTAAGTTAAGCAAGGAGTGGCCTGCCATTCCACCCTGAGGGGTCAGCACCTTCCTGGCCAGCACGGAGTCATTCTGTATTTGTTTTTCACTTTCTTGGAATTGCCCAGTCCCCCAACTCCTTTGCACTGCCACTACTTGCTGTTTCTCAATGTTGTAGTCCCCCAAAGCAAGCACAAAGTCTTTGGAGAAAAGCTTCTCAAAGTATGTTCTGTGGACTAGCAGCATATCAGCACCCCTGGGAAGGTTAGAAATGCATGGCGCTCACCCTATCAATACCAAATTGGACACTTAGCATATATAGGGAGAGGCAAGGTGTGTAGCCCTGCAGGTGTGATACCTGCTCAAGTGTGGAAACCATTGTTCTGGAGGAGTCCTAACAGATCTGTGCGTAAGTTACGACCTGATAGAATTTACTGGTTTATTCCTTTGCTTTCCCCTTCTGTAGAGACAGTCATTTGGAGTGCTAGACTCAGAACTCAGGGGGCTAAATTGCAGCCTCAGCCCCATAGTGACTTTCCCTTGGGCCCTGAACTCAGTTAAGAATCTCTCTGGAGTTGCTCTTCTCTGCTGTAAATTGAGACTCTGAGCCCAGAGGCGCAGGGCAGTTCTCTGTATCACCTTTCCCTACTTGTCCATGTTCCCCTTCCATATGGACTAAAGTAACCGACCGATAATGAGAAAATATCACTAAATCATTCTAAATGGTGCTCTTCTGACTTGAGAGAGCGAGTCCCCATTCCACCACAACTAATTAGTGGAGAGCATCCAGATCCCAAGATCATGAATGCAGACTGATGGATGTGCTCTTAATTCCCTCCAAGAACCCATAATATCGCTTAGTGATTCAGGAAAAAAATCAAGTCTTGGGCCTTCATTATTTTTAATTCACTGAAGCAACAACAAATTTGATTGAAAATTAAATCTATCACAAAAGTGTTTAAGGAGGTCGCTTTTCACAAGCAGCATCAACACACTGGAAAAAACCCTCCTGCAGGCTTCACTCTTACCTGGCTCCCAGCAGAGGTGTCTTCATCCTCCCAGCCTGGAAGGGGCTTCTTGGCCATTGTGCTATCAGCATATTCAAATGATGAGCAAGTCTGAGGCCTTGGCTCTGCTCCATTCTGCTTTGGGGAAGTGACTTTTCCTAAATGAGGATAGTATATGAAATCACAATCAGCATCTATCAACCCTTTACAAGTTTAGGGAGAAAGGTGGGAGGAGTATTTAGAAAAAATTTTTTTAAAAAAGATCCAAATTTGGTGGAAGCTGTGCTTCCCAACATTCTGTCCCCTGCAAGTCTGTGCTAACCACAGCATTGGCATCACTGCATGTGCATCTAGAGAATGTTCACCTTGGAGTCTGGAAGGCAAACTGTCCTTGGACCACTTGCCATAAAATATTAATAGATTTTTCAGGTTAGAAAGTGTTCAGTGTGCAAACCATTTAGGAAACACTGATTATTCTTCAAATGACAAACAGGTTTCCTTTTTGGACAACATCTCAGAGCCTTGATTGTGCTAATGGGGACTGTGATCATTTTCAGAGAGGGGATTTGGTTTTGCATTCTTTCTCACACATAATTGAGCAGGGAAACTTGATTTTCCTAGAATACCTGTTAAGATCATTCTGAATAATATGCTTTGGAAAACTTTGTTCGGAGGTGCAGAGCACCTTAATGATGGTGCAGGGTAGTTCTTTTCTGTATCACTTGAGCTTTTGTTAAATTGCAGACTTATTTGGCAGAACTGCAGTGGGCTTTTAGTTCCTTATTTCTTTTTTTTTTTTTTTTTTTTTTTTAGTTTCTTATTTCTCTCAAGCTCCCTGGAGATGCTGATGGTGCTGGTCCACAAATCGCACTTTGAGTAGCAAGGGTGTAATTAGCAAGAATGCTTAAAGAAAGTTCCTCCATTACCCAAAGTGTAGATTAACTTGCACAGTGTATGCCTTCCTCATGCCAGAAAGGAGGATTGCTGTTATTATCCTCTAGCCTCAATGATTATCAACAGAACATGTTGTGATAGCCTCTCAACAGCATTTTGCTTGTGAGCAGAGATGAAGTAATTGTATTTTTTTAAAAAGATTTATTTATGTATACAAGAACTGGGGTACAGAGGTGTGGGGCAGGGGGTGGGTGGGTAAGAGGATTCACCAGAGAGAGAGTGGGGAACAGAACAGGCAGACTGAGTGAAATACACTGCTGAGGGGGGCAGTGGGCGAGACAGGAGAGGTCTGCTGTGCCATGTGGGTAGCTCCCTGGCGGCCAGCCGGGGATTGGACTCGTGCTACAGAGGCTGTGGATAGCTTCACAGTGCTGTGCTTAACCCCTTGAGCCACCAGGGCGGCCCAAGTAATTGTATTTTCATCATCACTGTGAGATTTGTATGGTTACTGAGATATGGGGATAACAGAAAAACCGATTCAAACATGTACATTAAACAGGAAGTGACTGATCTACATTGGGCATTATCCCATTTTACCTTTGTTTCAGCTAGTTCTCCACTGCCTAGTCTTTCAAGTGAGTAACCAATGGCCGAAGAGAGAAGACTAGCCTTGGAAAGACGGCCTGACCAAGCAACGGTTTCATTTGGTGGACAGGAAGCTCCAGGATGGCAACACAAAAAGCCTTGCAGGGTGCTGACCTTGCTCCCCACCACACTGCATTTCTACAATTCTTCATGACAATTTAATTAAGACACAAACCTTAGAAAACCGGTGCAGTGAATATTAGCAACAAGATCAGAACAATCTCCCTCCTTACCCTTCTTATGAAGCAATTCGAGGCTTGCGGTTTCTATTCAATTTGTTATAATGACAGTGTTTAATCATGGAGTCTACTCGGCAGCCCGCCACTGAATTGAGGTCACACATGTGACTATTCAGGCATGGAGCACATAATCCATAACTAAGATTTTGCCCCTGAATCTCTGGAGGCTGAATCATTAATTAACAATGCATTTATTGCAAAAAAATAATATACATTATAGCCTTTGCAAACGTAGCCTTGGCTTGGAATGAGCCGAAGTTTGTGATGAAACATTCATGGCAGTTACTGTCTGAAGGAAGAACTCCGCCATGGGAATAGTCAAATCACATTTATTCAAAAATGTTTAATTAAAAGTCTTCTACTATCTCAGAAGCCTATGGTATAATCTCTACTTGTGGCACCTTTCTAATCACTGAATCATAAATGAAAATTTTTAGAGCTCTATTTCATATGCTTATGCATGTCATAAATGCAACATAAGCCAGGTAAGTTAAAAATTATATAGTATCTTCTGGGGCTGCAATAAATACATTTAATCTTGAGGGAACAATGGAAAAACTTTGACCCTTAGCCTGGTCCTTTCTTTAATCATGAAAGCGTGTTTCCATTGACAGCGACAAAGGATAGTTCTTCCCAATGGGAGGCTCAGTCCATTCTATTGCTGCGATGTACAATGTATTGCTAATATATCAAGCTAAGTCTTTTATAGTTCAACATATAAATATATTTGAGGAGGAGAGGAATATTTTAGAAGATGTATGTGTCTAGGTAGAGGGCAAACAACATTTCAGTTAAATTTATGTCTCAGACCAAAGTTGATCTATATTCAGAGCTAAGTTTTAAAAGATAAAATCCCCTGAATGTTTGCAGTGTGGGTTTTTTTCTTAATCAACTTATGGCTCCATATACCAGTGCTTACATGCTTGTTCCCTTTACATATGTGTACACTTCTCGATGTCATGTTAACAGTAGACAATGTCTAATACCTGTCACTTTACTTATGGGTTGAGAACATGGAGGTGTTAACAGCATCCACATTTCCACTGAGCAGAGATCACTGACTTGCTCGGTGGTAGATACCTTTTCTGCATCATCATGGTGGGAAAAGTACCTATTTTTGAAAACCATAGGCATTTTACCTGAGGAGGCTAGTTTAGGGAGGCGACTTTGAAGAGGCCGCATCCCGCGGGCCATCATGACGGGGTCGGATGCGGAGTGAACAATGGTGTGATCTGCAGAGCCCGGGCTGTCTGCAGAGGAAGGCACTTCTCGTTGAAGGGTATGGGCTCGGATGGAGGAGACTGTACAAAGGACTGGCTGGAGAGATGAAATGGGTTCAGGGTCCTCCGGGGAGTCTGGCTGGCACAGGTAGCGTCCTGCTGAGCGGTTTCCAGAGTCTGGGAGTGGGAAGGTTCCGATCCCACTGTCCAGGGTCCTCATCTGGCAGTTTGATTCTAGACAGAGTAACAGACTGAGGATTAGAGAAAAGGCTCATGTGAGAGGATAAAAGGATCTTGAGCATTTGGATCTGATCTGAAGGAAAGAGGTGGTTAGAAGGGACAGACACTAATTAATGGTAATTTCCAATGAGTGGTTTAAATATTAAACACATATTTAATTGAGCATGAAGATATTCCCTTCACATAACATGAGGCAAGAAGGCCAGCCATTACTGGCTGCAAGCGTCACGTGGATGGTTCTCTGGAGTTACAACAGAAAAAGAACAGTCAATAGAGGTTGGAAATTAATTTTGATAATCCTTATTTCAATTGGGAATCATGACTTCAACAAATTAGGTGAACTATATTAACTGAGATAAGATGAGTAATGAGCACACATAACAAATTGAAGTGATGTCCTAACAAAGGTAATTGTGCATCTCTTACATAAATTATCATCCATTTGGTAATAAACAGTATCTCTGGCCTCTCAATTTGATGGTGAGGGCAACTAATTCACATGCTATGAGGGTCTGCCCCAAAGGCACTGTGGCTGTGGTAACACCACTTATCGTGCGGTCTTTATTTGTGTGGTGTGTGGCTTATCTAAGCCAAGAAGGCAGCTTCTAAAAAGTCTCCTGTATGTATGACAATCTTAGAAAGCAACATCCTTAGTAAATTTTATATCAGCATCTTATAAGTTAGGATTGAGCAAAAAGCACAACTTAGCACTATGTTAGCCGTGATGGGGAATATGACAATCTTTTATGAAGAGGCTCAGCAGCTAATATTTTAATGACACTTTACGGATAAGTGACTTGGAGTACAGTTTTTGTCAATAACTAATTGTGTGGTGCCTCCCCAGTGGCGCAGTGGTTGAGCGCTGGGCTGCGAAGCTGCCTGCAGCCTTTGCAGTGCTGGTTTCATCCCCGGCCGGCAGCGAGGGTTCCACATGGCGCGCAGACTTCTTCTGCCGTGTCCGCTGCTCCCCTCAGCTGTGGGTTTCATCAGTCTGCCTGCTCTGTTCCCCGCTCTGGCTCTGGTGAATGCTCTCACCCTCCCACACTTCTGACTGTACCAAGCGCTTATATGAATAAATAAACAGACAAATAAATAAATAAAATGTTAAAAAAAAAAAACTATTTGTGTGAACCCCTGCACAAGATCCTTAACCATTCAAGGTCTCAGCTTCATTATATGTAAAGATAAAAATATGTTTGCGAAGTAATCTTCAGAATTTAGAGAATATCCAGCATACTGTGAGGCAGCTGAATGACTGAAATAATGAATGGTGACACATATGAAATGCTTAGCATACTTACTAGGTCTCCATAGCTATCTGGTAGGCAAATAGTTTATCCTTAAGAACCTTTCTTCCACAATCTAATTTGATACTGAACAATTAGTATCTGAATCTGCCCATTTCCCTGCCCTCTACATCCAAACCTCTTTGCTGTGAGGAGTAGAATTCTGGGACCTTCCTAAAGTATTGACAAAGGTTTAGCGGGTTTAAAACTGACTTTCATAGATTCTAGTGGGTTTAATGTTTAGTTTAGGAAGAACTAGGAAGACGAAGACTCCACCAAGAAGAAACTTCACTCTCTAAAGTAGGAAAATGCAGGTACCCTTTCTTCCTTCTGGTATCATTTAACCATCTCATCCACCACTGGGTTTCAGAGACTGGCCATGAACAGTGGAGGCCCTGAAATCACATGGCTCTTTTCATTTTCAGAAACCCAAAGGCTAAGCTTTAGACCCAATCATTCCAGGGACTCTCCTTGGTCAGCTTTACTATTAACCAGCTTTATAGATTATCCATTATCTTCTTTTTTTCAGTTTCTCCTCAATTACAAAATATAATTAATTGTTTCAGAATGACCTTTTGGAGAAATGATCCATTGTTTGCAGGGGAAGGCATTTCAGAGTGTTTGAAGAGAAAGATCCTGCTATTCAGAATTCAGCATCCTCCCTTCATTTTATTCTAGATAAACAAGAATCCTCAGATAGTAGGTCCCTATGTATTGGGGGATGGTTCTAAATGTCTGAAACATTTGGTTCTCACACAGGAGTAAGTGGGTTTACAATCAGAACGTAGGCAGGCTTTGGAGATGGGAAACAAGCTACACAGACATAATAGCTGAGTTGTGCCTACACACCATGTTCCTTCACTCCCATCAACATCTGGGCTGCCTACCCCCAACTAAGGAGTGCTCAGTGGGTTGGGGCATTAGGTGCTCTTTCCCTTTCGTGAAGATGGATAATTAAGTTTGGCTGTTTTTTATTTCTGTCATTTTTCATCTTCACAACTCTATAAGGTAAGAAAAATTATTGCCATTTGCAAATGAGGAATCATGATTCAGAAAAGTAACTTGCCCAAGGCCATATGCTATAAATAAAGAGCTTGGATTTGAATCCAGCTACAACTATCAAGCTATACTGATTCCCCCCAAAAGTACAGGTTAAATCCAGAAGCGGGGATGTTCAGTTAACAGTCCTTGAAGCAGCCTGGGGAGCAGATGGCACACAGAATGACCTCCCGCTCCTAGTACCCAGCTTCTCTTCTGGAATAGGTATGGGCTCTGAATTCTATCTGGGTCCCTGCACATCCCATCTTGTGACTGGAGTCTGCTATTGATACGCCTGCATTGACCAGGTTGCTGGCCTTAAACAGGATGCCTACGCATTCTGATCTGCACAGGTCAGAACTGCCTAATAACTCCCGCTGCCTTCTTGGATTACATCTGCAGATTTCTATGCCATGGTTTTTCTGGCATTTATCTTGCCTCTGTTGGCTTGGCAATAGGCATTGTCTCCAAGGGGAATCTTTTCCTGACTTTGTCTAAGAGTTTTCTCCCAAGTATTTTGCGACTCATAAAGCACTTAATCTAGTACCCTCAAATGGAGACTCAAAAAGCAAGGGAAGATTCTGGATTGCCTTTCAGTGATTTCCTGGTGCAGCACCCAATGCCCCAAAAGCCTGTGTATGTTGGCTTAGCCTGTAGCACAGGCAGCAAAGAGGGCAGAGCAGAGGAGGGATCTGGGATCAGAACAATGATGAAGAAAGTCTCATGTCCTTCTGAGGACAACACTTTCTGATATCTGTCCCTTTAAAATATTTTTTCCCCTTCACAATATTGTCATACCAGAATCTGTAAAATAGGACTTTTGGTATTCCTGAGTTTTCTGATTCTCTGAGAATTGTGTGCACTGACATTAAGCTCCGAACCTACCTGCTATTAAGGCCATTTTTTACTTAGAAAAATTACAGATGCCAAATGTAGTGAATTTGAAAGACTCATTTGTAAGTACCTATGAAATGAGGTGTGGACAGTCAGGGACTCGGGTACCATACGCCAGGTTTCACCCTCAAGCAAATTTCTCTGGAATGCATAAACCTTTGGAAATGGAGTTTATATTGAAAATGCTGACACCTTCTTTATGTAGTTTCCTTAAAAGTAATGTAAGTTTCTTGCAGTTCATAAAAATAGTGCAACCTGGAAAATGCTAGATATTGTGCTTCCAAAGGCACCCTTTTCTCCAAATTAAAAGTATTCACAAAATAAGTGGCTGTAATAGGAACAAAATTCAAAGGGGCAAGCTAGTGTTGTATCTCCAGCAAGTTCACTCAGATTTGATCTTGACAAGTATAAGTTCACATTGGGGGCTGTGAGTGCAGTTGTCCACAGGGCCTTGCTAATGAGTTCAAGGGCTGGGTTCCATGATGGACCAGTGGACTTCATTCTTCCAAGGTCACACATTATGTCTCTGACCTTGGCCGGCCCTTCCAACTACTTCCCATGGTCCTATTTGCCTTCACTCTATCTCTTAAGGTGAGTTCTTTATCACTGACAAACCCCAGAGGTTTCACAGGATGACTTAGAGCAGTACTTCCCAGTCCTTTTAAAATTGTGGTACACAGAGACAATACATGGCTCCTGGGAAATTCAGGGGCCTCAGGTCCAGCGGCCGCCTGTGAGTAGAGGGCTGCTCATCCCAGCACCCCTGGGACCATTAAGGGCATGTCAATAGCAGAATGGTAGTGATTAACCTACAGAATGGGGATCTTCTTTTACCCACACCTTGAATGCATTACCTGGATTATAAACCTGCCATGCAAGGAGATGGATATCTTTATAGTCTCAAGCAGCTGATAGGGAATTTCCAGACCCTTATTTTTTGGAGAAGAATGTTTAGAATGCTGGCCTAGGAATCTTGTCTAAATGAAGCTTTAGCTAAGAAGGCCATTGTTATGCCTGAAAGGGACATGAGCTGTGTAGGGATGACCAGTCACCAAGGATGAGTGAGTTCTGTGTGGGATTGTGGCAGGGAAGAAATTCTGGAAAAAAACATTTTCATGAGGGAGCTTTTAGTTGTTAACTGAGGGTGTATAATATAAAATCCTTACTCATCTCACCAATGAGAATCAACCCGTCTGCTCCTTGTATCAGGTACCTCAACAGGTGACTTTAACTTCATCATCTGAAAGTAAGATCCTATCACCACCATTAGGGTGTTTGAGGATTAGAAACAAAACACATCATAAACATAGCATGATGTCTGGGATAAGCACATAGTTATAGTTCAGAAAGCAGCAGCAAGTCTTAAAATAAGGGTTATTAGACTGTAAGAATCTTGGGGGTAGACTGGATTTTATTCATCTCTTACACCCATATGAGCCCATTCCTGATCCCACACTGCCCTTATTCAGAAGCATGATGATCAAGACTGAGAGCTGATAATTACAGGTTGATGAACATCTCATTTATTCCCCATCACCCATTGTCAGCACAGCACCTGACACATAGTCAGCTTTCATTGAGGTAGAATGAAAGAATAAGTAAATGAAAGACAGCTCTAAACTTCAGAAAATTCTTCTCTAAATTAAATTCAATATGAACCTTTGCTTTTGAAATCCCAATCTGCTTTTTTTTGTTCTGACTCCGGCAAGCAAAGAAAACAGCTGACTTTCTACTTCTCTCTAGCTATTTTTCACATATAGCCAGACTTCATTAATT